TCCAAGAACTCTCATTTACTTATAAGACCCTTTTTGTATGATTAGATTAACTCTCTGGATGATGTGGCCCAAGTGGGGCATTTGAGGAGAGTCAGCATTACAGCACAGAGGAAAATCTGCACAGATCTAGAGGAAGGTGCTATGGCACCCATACTAATCGTGGGAAACAGAGAAGTGGTGGGATTCCGGGCAGGAGGATACACAGTGTGGGTGTCACAGACTTATGCTTTGTTTTCACTTTTCCCTGCTTAAAAAGGTGGGGGAGGAGATTAGGGGGAGAGGGGAGTTATTGCAAGTCTTGTAAAATCCTAAATGGAAACAAGGCACCTTGTAGGTCAGGGGTGGGCAAACTATGGCCCGCGGGCTGGATCCGGCCCCACAGGGCTTTGGATCTGGCCCGCGGGATTGCCACTCCTGTGGTGCCATGGGCCCCGTGCTGCTCCGGGAAGCAGCCAGCACTATGTCCCTGCGGCCCCTGGGGGAGGGGGGGCAGAGAGCTCTGGGTGCTGCACTTGCCTGTGGGTACCCCCCCCCGAAGCTCCCATTGGCTGCTTCCTGGTGCGCACCATTACCACCCCGGAGCCCACACCCTGAACCCCTCCTGCACCCCAACCCCCTGCCCCGAGCCCGCTCTTGCACTCCACACCTCTCCCTGCACCCCTGCCCTGAGCCCCCTCCCGCACTGTGCACCCCCTCCTGCACCCCAACCCCTTCTCTGAGCTCCCTTGTACACACCACACCCCTCCTCAGCCCTAACCCCTTGCCCTAAGCCCTTTCCTACACACGGCACTGCCTCCCGCACCCAACCCCTGCCCCAGCCCTACACTGATGGCCCTGCAAGCAATTTCCCCACCCAGATGTGGCCCTCGAGCCAAAAACTTTGCCCACCCCTGCTGAAGGCGGAGGTAGCTGGGCCGGGAGAGGGGGCGCGGCTTGTGTCGCCGGTGGGGCGCGGACTGGGGCGATCACGCATACTGCAGGACAGGAGTGGGCACCGGAGCCCACGGGGGGTCACTCACGCTGCGGGGGAGAGGGAGGGGCCACATGATCCGGCGGGGCGGGAAGGGCTATGGGGGGTCGCTCAGGGGGAGGGGCAGTGGGAGCCGGGGAGAGGCGGGGGTCACTCACGTTGTAGGTGTGGAAGCTCCTCCCCGCGGCGGTGAACAGGTAGAACTCGCGGTGGCGCTGGTGGTAGCGCAGCGCGTGGGGCAGGTGGTTGGAGTAAAGGCCGAGAGCGCGGAGGCCCGAGAAGAGCGCGCTGCCCCCGCCGGGGGCCGCCCGCACCGCGCTGCCCGCACGCGACATCCCCCAGGCTGGGCCGCCGGCACCCTCACCCACAAAAGCACGCGTCCGGCCCAGAGCGCTGCGGAAACAGCCCCACCCCTTCCGGCGCCACCGGCTCGTAGCAACGGCCCAGCGGCCCCGGAGCGTCCACGAAAGGGGCCCCCCTACGCCTGCGTCCGCGCGCTCCGAGTTCCGCCTTCCGCGATGGTGGGGGGAGGGCTGGGAGAGAGAAAGACGCGCTCCACAGCCGATCGCGTCTGCGCAGGCGCCGCCTGCTTTCTTGTCGAGCTCTCCGTGCCGTAGCCGGTGTTCACCTCGCCGCGTTCTCTGAGGTGCACAGCAGCTCGGGTGCCCCGGCGGCCCGATATTTAGTTGAGTGTCCCGCGGCCCGACCGAGGAACGGTCCGGACGCCATTTGTCCTGATATTCTGCTTCGGCAGCTCTCCAGCTTTTTTTTTTTTTTTTTTTGGCTTGGGGCGGCAAAAAACCTAGAGCTGGCCCCGGGGGGCGGTGAGCCTGTGGCTGCCCCCCCTATGTGTCCCGATATTTTGTTCTGGTCATCTGGTCACCCTAACTCCAGTGCACCCAGCCCTGTGGCTCCTGACACCGTTTCCTAGAATATCAGGGTTGGAAGGGACCTCAGGAGGTCATCTCGTCCAACCCCCTGCTCGAAGCAGGAACAATCCCCAATTTTTGCCCCAGATCCCTAAATGGCCCCCTCAAGGATTGAGCTCACAACCCTGGGTTTAGCAGGCCAATGCTCAAACCATTGAGCTATCCCTGTCACTCCCCCCAAACCCTTACATGGCCTGTGCCAGCCCCACCTGCTCCCAGATTGGGCCACTGATGATCCCAACTAATGAAATGGGGGCTCTCCTCCCAGGTGATGGGCTCAGACTTTGCTCCACAGCTGGGCTCGGATCTTACTTGTTTATTTAAAGGTGCAAGCTGAGAGTCTGGTCACCTGACACCCTGACTCTAAGAGCTGAGGCTTTGAGAAAAACAACAAATATCACCAGACTAGAAAAAAAAAAAAAGCAGGAGAGTGAGCCCCAATGCTGTCATGGGGAAAAGCATGTCAGTTTTATATGATTATAGTCTATTTGTTAATCACTGACATTACACCCCGTCCTGCATGAGATGCAGATAACAGCCCAATCCTACAAACTTGCATCGTGTTTGATGCTAACATGAGCCATCCCCATTGATTTTAGTGGTACCCTTCACAGAAGTAAGAAGTCAATAATACTCAGTATGACTGAACTTGGGACACCAGAGGGTGTCTAAAAAGAGTTTGTGTTCTAGATTGGATTGATGTTTTTTCCCCTTAGTTTCACACAAATCTGGCATTCTCTAGGGTTGCCACCACTGAGGTACCAAAAAGCCAAAACAAAACACAGGACATCCGGGATGATCCTGAGCCCAAAAAACTGAACTGATGGTGCTGTTTACTGAGCACCTTTACAGATTTCCCAGGACAGCTAGCTCCAAAAAGGGACAAGTATGGGAAAACATGGACAGGTGGCAACCCTAATTCTCAGCATGCTATTGTTTTGTTATTTACTTCAGAATAGCTTCTATGGAAAAATCTTTGTGACAGAGAAAAGAAAAGCTGAAAACTAAAGAAATAATGGTGGTTAAAATCTGCCTAACCTCAGGCTTTTGACCTGAGACTCATGCTTTTGGGGGATTTTTCCAGGCCCATGGAACTGTTCCCAGAACCTAAAGCCTTTTGTGGGTGCCATAGTTGTGGTTGCTGCAAAAGCTGTTGGTACAGATACAGCAGCCATAATGTGGCTACAGAGAATCGCGATTAAATTTCCCACATGCTGCATAGATGCATTCTTGGGTTTCTGTATTGGCCTAATTCACCTAAAATAAGTGAGAGATATTTTCCTGATTTTTCTTTAGAATATATTTTGTACCAATGTATTTTGAGACAACAAATAGAAGCACAGGGAGAAGAACAAACCACCCAGAAGGAAGATCTGTATTTTCCATTGTAGAGATGTATGGCTGACACCCTAAATGGAAGGGTTGGTGGAGGGAAGAGAAAGGATCTACTGAGAAAAATCTTCATTAATGCAGAATTAAGGTTGCCTGGTGGTGTCTTGTACCCTTCCAGAACATTTTTGGGCACACTTGGCTTCTGAAGTTCTAATGGTTTAAAGGGAATTGGAGGTTGGGATGGAAATGGTGGAGGGGATAATATTTTGGGTATGTGGTTTGGGAGAAGACTGGCACACCAGTCTTCTCTCACATGCTTAAAGTTATTGTAACCGCCAAACTAGTTTGAGTACCATTTTCAATGGTGCTCCTCCATCGGTTTAGTGGGTGCCATGGAGTAAATGTTGAGTGACTGAAATCACTTTGAGCACATTCAGGGGCATGGTTTGATCTGCAGTGCTACACAAAAGAGTTGGTTAAATCTGCCAACATTAAGAAATGCTGGGGGGGAGGGGTGTGGAGAGAATTATATCTCTGGGATCCCTTTTGTGATTGCCCCCAAATTTGGATCAATAACCCTACCGTAAACCCACCTGAGGCATACCACATTTCAAAGCATTACAAGAAGCATGTGGATTTTAGAGCAAGTTCAAGAGTCAATCTTTAAACAGAAAGATGTTCTCAATCTTTATTACAGTGCAGCTGGCATTCTGTTATAATGAGAAGGGCCATGTCTACACTGTGCAGACTATAACGACATAGCTACCGCACTGTAGCTCTGCTGGCATAATCCTGTAGCATAGATGCAGCCTACAGTAACAGAAGGGATTCTTCAATCAATGTAGGAACACCACCTCCCCAGGCAATGGTAGCTATGTCTCCAGAAGCATTCTTTTGTTGGCCTACCTGTGTCTAGAGCAAGGATTAGGCTGGCATAACTGTGGCACTCAGAGATCTGGATTTTTCAGACCCCTGAGCTCCATAACTATGTCAACCTAAAATTTTAAGTGTAGACCAGGCTAAAGTAGAGTAGCTTTTAGGATCACCCTTCCCTTCCCTTATTCCAGTAGAAGGGTAGAGGTGAAAACTAGGAATTCCACCCCCTTCCTCTGCGCAGTCAGGTTGGATAGGGAGAGAGAAGCGATTATGTTATTTGATAATATTGTGTTGTATATAGCTGCCCACATGCTTTAAACAAATGAAACCATTTTCTGATTAAACCAGGTATCTGGGAATAACTAGATGGGTGTGCGCACATTTGTGTGTTTTTAGGTCAAATTTTACCAGGGCTTCAAAGTTGAGACAGTTTGGTTGTTAAAGTTCCACTGCTAGCAGATCAATAGGACAAAAATCAAAACATCCACTAAATCCTATATTCTTTACCTCAGGTGTTGCACTGTTCAAATACTGATATAATGTATGTGTCTTCAGAATGATGAAACACTGGAGAGGTGGGGGAAACAATTGCACAAAAGCACAGTGACTAATACTTTCACTCTTACAGACACATGCGTGGGTATGCACAAAAATGTAGCAGCAACAATCGCCAAAAAACATAAGCAGACATGCACAAAATCCAGTACCAATACTGCCAAAAATACACGCATGGACTCATGCAAAACCTGCCACTAGCACTGCCAAACATACATATAAGTACATGCACAATACTCACTAACAACACTGATAAAATGTCTAAAACCACACATCAACACCACCAAACTATAGTTTGGAAAATAATTGACACACAAAACCTACTACCAGCATTCATAAAAAATTACATTGAAGGGACATTTGGATTAACAACCCCCAACATAGCCAGATACTTTTAAAAACATGTTCAAAGTTTTAAGTCTCTTTCTTCTGGCTGATCTTTCTCCATGCCCCCATATATTGCCCTTTCCCTATATCCCATTATTTCCCCTTCATGTGGATCTTTTCTAATCTGTTCCAAGATGCCCCCCTTTGACCCACATACAAAGTATGGCAAACCATTTCATGAAAATTGTTTTAATTAATAAATCCTTACATTATGGTACTAAGCTATTTGTTTAGCAAATATGTACGTTAAAGGTTTTTACAAAATAAATTAAAAACATTTAAAATTCAAATTGAAAAAATCATTTGTAAAATTTACAACTTTACAAATTTGCATCATTGGTAATAAATATTTCTAAAATGAAGAGGGAAACCTATTTGTTGATATTCATATAACTCCTCAATACAGCCAGTAGTTCTTGAAGTCTGTGCTCCTCACATGGTTGTGCTCTCTGAGATCTCTTTCGCTTTTTCATTCGATGGATATTGGATCTAGATTCTTGACATTCAACATGCTGCTGACCATAAGAGCAGAGTTCAGTGAATTATACTTTAAACTGTAACCACATTTTACAGAGTTGATCAAAGACACTGGCTAATGGTTTTCTGGGTCTGACTCTGCATTTTCTATGCACACAAAACTCCCGCCGAAGTCAGTTGGAGTTCTGACTGTACAAAGAATGCTAGATCAAGCCCCAAGAGTGTTTTTCATACTGATGCTGTTTCTTCTTACATCTAAAAAATTATTAATCTGCTGTGCATTTCTGATTGTAAAAGATTTGTGCAAGGACAATATTCATTTTGAGTTATAATTCAGATTAAATTGTTAGTTTTTACCAATAGTTTGGCAAATAACATTCATTCTGAAATGCTAACTTCCTTTTGTGTTACATAAGAACTTAATACATTCAGAGGAAGCACAAGAAAAATAGCATAATTATTATGAACAGTGGAACATAGCTGAAAAATAATGACTTTAATTAACAATATTAAAACCCACCACATCACAATTCTCTGGGAGCAGGGGGTGAAATTCACCCCTATGCATAGAGGTAAATAGGACCTAAATGGCACATGGGTCTTGTGCTAGCTGAACTGCATCTGGGACTCTGAATAGCAACATATATTGAGCAAATTACCCTAGGAGGCAATCTTGCTCATTGAAGTTGGTGAGATTTTGCCAGTCACTTAACAGGAGCAGTATTGAGCCTCTGGTACAGAAAGGATTGTGTTGTTGCCACAAAAACTGAATACATGAGGCAGTGGGGGAAAGCTGAGTTTAAAGAAAGTACTTTTGTTTTTTTACTTACAAAAGGCCAAGTCCTGTTTTCTTGAGTCAGGTAAGCAGCCTCTTTGACTACTTGCATGAGTACAACAGGCAGGAGGTTAGTCCAAATACTGTAAAACTTCTACAGAACCCAGCCCCTATCTTGAGCATCAACATTAAAGTATCCCGAAGGTTTCCATCAACGTTCATTACATTCCTCTCAACCTTTAATTAAAAGCCACTTCTGCCAGGCAGTAACTTAAAGTGTGGTTATGTTCTAAAACGTGACACTTCAAAACCAGCATTGAACAAATTGCTGGGTTTACACGGAGGTTTTTACCCTCTCACTAACTTCCAGCGCTGGAAACTCAACCTGGGCTTAGAAAGTCAAGCTGCTCTTTCTGGCTCACACATCACCAGTTGTAATCAGTTCTGCTGCTGAAGTTTAGGGGCAAATTCTGTCTCTGAGACCATGGAGGTGCCCTTGGCAGTGAACAAGAGCGGTTCAACTGCACAAACCGGACAGGATCAGAGGGAGGCAATGCAAGGGATGTACACCACCTTCATGGCACAGCATCGTCATCCTCATCAGCGATGGACTACCAACACATGGCACAGCCCTCTCACAACGGGCGGACCCCTGAATGGCCATATACATTGAGCTGATGAAAGTGAGATCTGGGCAGGCCAGTAGACGGTTGGGGTTAAAGGATCTTGTCACTACTTAGATCCATCCTCCTTTTGCATGTAAAGACTGGGAATCCTTCCCCCCCTTCTGCCCACACATCCTCTGAAACAATAGCCAGACTATTTGTCCTTTAGTTAATTCTGTCTACTATGCATGAGCCATAATAGAACCTGGTTCACTCTCCCATAGTTGTAGTGGTTTCGTGTGCTAATAAGAATGAAAAGTTGTAAACAACTTATTTTTGTCAGTAAAAGGAATCAACTGTGATTTGGATTGTGGAGGGGGAGCAGCTCTGAGTGAGAAGGCACTATTTTTACATGGTCACTTTACTGATCTTAGCTACTTTCTAACCTTATGTCTACACTAGAATTTTTACTTCCAGTTAATTGATAGCTAACAGGTGTGCATAGGCTAATCTGGACACCCCTACATGTTTGTTCCCTGCTAAAAGTCGTTTTTGGTTTACCCGAAAGATCAGCCCAGTGTTAACCACTTCCAGCTAGTGGGTAATTAACTAAGTTCAATTAAAATATACATAATAAAGACGTGCCCAAAGATAGAATCATAGAATATTAGGGTTGGAGGAGACCTCAGGAGGTCATCTAGTCCAATCCCCTACTCAAAGCAAGACCAACATCAACTAAATCATCCAAGCCAAGGCTTTGTCAAGCCGGCCCTTAAAAACCTCCCTAGGTAACCTATTCCAGTGCTTCACCACCCTCCTAGTGAAATAGTGTTTCCGAGGATAGGTTTCACTATCTTGGAAATCAGACATAATACGTGTGGAAAAGCAGGGTGAAAATAATAGCCAGAGGATACACTACAGATTAATTTTTGGGGAAAATAGCAGGATCTCAAACATATTTAACTGTTAAGCTAAACAGGAAACAGATTTCCTCAGAGTCTCCTCGACACAGGCAAAAATAAGACCTGTAATTCATTGCCAATGTTGCTCCGTAAACAACAGAAACTGTAGTACAGACAGGACTCAGATGGGTTTAGATATTTTTACCACTTTTTTATGGTAGTAAAAATCACCTGGATCAGGACTATGCTATAGTTTCCGCTGTTGATATCATCAGCTGCGCCAGTAGGGAATTAAGAATCTGATTTGAGTAAACAAGACTGGAGAGGTATGGTGCTCCAGAACAGTGCCCTGGGACAATAATCTGCGTCTGAATGAAACCTCCGGGAAATAATCAATTATCTATGGGCCTGTCTTTTTCACTTTGCTCCACGAATCTTTAGCATACTCCCTTTAGTGGGAAGTATTTTCCTTTGCCTTTTTTTTTTTTTTTTTTTTTGATTGCCTTCGAGTCCAGCGTTAGGAGAAAAATACAAAACCTCTGGCTTTCGAAACAGCGTCAAGTAGTCAGTGATTTGCATATTTCCCAAGCTGACTTCCGAAAGTAAAAATAAGCGCTCTCCACCTTCCTCAAAACATTCAAGAAGAAAATAAAGACGTGCTATAGGTTCTGTCCTGTTCTTACCTTCTCTGGGAAATAATCAGCACAATTTGCATTCAGAATGGTACGAGTTAAGGTCCAGACATCCTCCTTCTGTGAACCGGCTAGGCAGCATCTGATAGTGTTTTGTATGCATTCCAGCAGTTCGCCTTCCTGGTATGTGGGAAGAGAAGCAATGCTGTGACCAGGACACTAGCGGCGGTAATGGCGCATAGTAGCCGATAGATGGCACCCATTATAGCCGTCCCAGCTACTAAACCGGCTGTTCCCTATTCTTTCCTCAACCGTATTCCTTCTAAACCAGCTGTCTGAAATCACTTGCTGTCTTAGAAGAAAGAATCATAAATTTATACCTTCTTCCCGCTTCCAATTACATCTTTTAACGCAGTGAGGGAGGCGAGAGACACTCGGGTATCCACGCTTACATCTTCTAGTCTTTTTGTTTTGTTGTTGCCATTCAACATAGCTTACCCACCCCATACATATAATATATGTATATGTTATTAATGCAAAAACAAAAGGTCGCTTACTAACGATGTTGGGATTTGTTCACCTAGTTCAAACTTCTGGCTGCTCTGGCACCTCTCCACGGTACCATCATTGCACGGCTTCAGAAAGCAATGACGTACTATATCAACACACACACATCACTCACTTTTTCCCCGCATCCGTGAGAATCCTGATCTTTTAGCTAGAAAGAAAGATTATAATCTTATGTATTAATTAACCAACAGTCGGTTATAGAACGAGAGGGTCATGCAAAACAATTTATAACAGAGAACCTTCTAAAGTATTGTTGGGTTTGTATCTATTTTATACATCAATTATAATAATCTTGACAGCTGTATATACGGTTTCCTCTGAAACCTGTATATACGGTTGTGTTTTCTTCCCTTATCGGGTGCCCTCAAAGATACATCACTTATCTCAGTTTATTTAGGTTATCTGCCAAAGTCCTAGCTAGAGGCGTTCAGACCTGTTTAGCTCGAAATTACAGCGTGTTTTTGGTTTTATATCTATTTTGAAAATCGGCTTGTACTTATTTTACACTTTTGTATTATTCTCTTGTATTTTCTTCCTACATCCTGTGCCCTTAGAAACACGTCATTTACCTCCAATTAATCAAGTTATGTGCCAAGGTCCTAGACAGAGGAAGTCTTAGATTCAAAAAACTATGCTCTGTTTGTTTTTTACTAAAGCGTGTCTGTATAGACATATGTACACTGCCTTTATGTACTACTTACACCCAATCATAAACATTTATCACATTGATAATAAGCAGTTTTCTCCAGCACCTGCGAAATACTGTGCATGTTATTCCCCCCTTACCTCACCCCCAGCCTCCTTACAGCACTGAAGTGTGGAATAAACCGCAGGGTTTGGAAGGAACGTACCCTCTTTGTTTTCTCCTCTTTTAATCTACTACAAATTACAGGGTCAGCTGGAAAGAAATGTTACTAGCATACTTTCCACCGTTTAATCATACCTATATAGACACAGGCTGCGTCTTGCCCAACACAGCTTCATGTCACCCTGGGAAATTAGGGGAAGATTTTCCCCTCCTCTCCAAATGTATTGGAGTTTTCTGAAGAAAACCATCTTCTAAATTTTTCAGGTCCCAGATTTACCAGTCAGCGTTTTCAAAAAGTGTCTTTCCACTAACATTAAAGACAATTGTAGAAGCAGCTACTGTACCACCAGTTTCCATTTGATGCTGTAAGACAAACAACCACACCTTATAAACTCACTTTCTACGGTACCTTTTCCAGATGTACCAAGATAACGTTAAAAAATGCATCCTTTATGGCTTCATGGTTACAGTTACTGAAATTGTAGGTAGACATCAGCACTAAGTCAGCAAGCTGAAGAAAGATGATCAACCTAAGGAGGACTGTTGAAGAAGAACAAGAAGGAAAACAAAAAACAAAAAACACCCAGCATTAGTTATCAGGAACTATATTACCAGCAACGAAACTAAAATTTTAAGAGTTATAGTTCTGTAGAATAAGTAAATCAAGTGATACTTGTAGTTCTGAGTACTAGATGAACATGATGATTACCCATTATGTTCTTTGAAGTTGGATTTTCAGTGCTGGGGTTCAATGCTTTGCTGGTTTCATATATATATTGTATGCATCTGAACGCCTACGGTCAATGGTATTTTCAAATGCCATAGCTGGGGCTCATTTTGATGTCTCATGCACCTCTTTTCCTGGACTGTAAAATAGTTATTCATAGTATTGTAATGAAGTTGTGTAATTACTAATTTAAAAAGAAATAGAGAAATCTTGTAGTACAAACAAAGTTTGTAATCCGGGGTCACCTCCATAAAACATAAGACAACTCTTGCAGTAAGTGCACAGAGTTCAACAGCTGCGGCTTGTTCCATATCCCTTTGAAGCAGAATGTCCATATGTATGTCCGAATAGCCAGACAGACATATGCACACTCAATATTTAGGTGCAACATATGTCAGTTTTAAAGAATACACGGGTGGGGGGCTATAATGAATGTGCTGACATTAGCCTTTTCACGATCTTAATCAATGTTAGGGTTATATACTTTGTCCGGAAGGAAATATTATGTGTTCGGCAGGCTTGATGCTGTTAGAAGCAGATCAGCTGGCCACCTGGCAGTCCTCAAAGAAGGGTTTCCAGCCCGTACAGATTGGGACATGATTGGAGAGGGATAGTCCATGGCCAATATGTGCTTTCCCCACTAAACCTGCAAACCCCCCCCCCCCCCCCCAACTGTTCAAAAGCGAAGACGCAAAGAAAAATCTTATCTGCACGATTGTTAACCAGCCTAGTAACAATTAAAGATCCGACGGGGCAGATGATGTCCATTTGCAGCCGGTAATCACACTGTCTGCAGCCCTGGACTGAACGCAGAGCCAAGCACACTCACTGATTGTTCCCCTTTTTATTAATTGTGTGCCAGCAAAGACGCGTCTTGCGCAGATGTGTTTAGTGAGGAGTATTGCCTATGCAATACTGTATTATGCACACTGCTGTCCAGTGCAGAGTAATTTAGCTATGCCGGGGACTCCCCCAGAGCGAGGAGAAATTGGCTGTATATAGCGCCTGGTCGGAAGGGAAGAGTGTAGCATCAGCAGACTGTGTATTGGAAGAGCTCTAGTTAGGGGCTTCTGGATTCCTGCGGTTGAGAATAGGCTGTTTGGGAACAGTTTCAAATCCAGAGCCATTACTTTACTGGCAAGTTTGACTGATTTTACCCCCTCCCACACCCCGTCTGATGACTGAGGCACCCTTTTCATGTCCAACATAAGTTCTCAGTTAAAAAATCAAAATGTTGACTGTGGAGCGAGGGAAACGTGCCACAACTTGTAAACACACTAGCGCCTCTGCATAAACAAGCTAGCAGTGAGATGGCATCCACGAAGTTGCGAGGGGCCAGAACAGCACCTGTGTGTGCATGGAGAGAGACCCTACAACTTGGCCTTCCCAAGTCCCCCTTGTGCCCATCCAGAATCCTTTCCCCACGACACCCCCAACCCTCCTAACATACGGAAGTGTGAGTGTGCCAAGATTGGGGCTACGGAAAGTGTCCTGGAAAGCTCTCCAGACAAACAGGTAAGCGTGCAATGACCCGGCTGCTCGGGCAGCCGGGGGGCAGCAGTGAGCTGGCTGCGGGGCGCCTAGCTCCAACGCGTGGGCGCCGAGAGAAGAGGCAGGGGGCTGGGCAAGCCCCTGCAGCCAGAGCTGACCTCAGCGGGGCTGTCAGAGCGCCGCCGCTCCAAACTCAGCGCGACCCTGGGTTCAGAGGAAGTTGGAGTCGATGACTCCTAGGCGTGAGTCATTAAGGAAAGCCCGAGGGGGGCAGCCGGCGCGCGTGCCAGGTTTGCTCTAGGCGCGCGAAGGCTGAGGACCGACCCAGGCATGTTGATGGCTGGCTGAGTGCCTGCCTGACTCTGAGCCATTGGGGCGAGTTTCCGCTCTCCCGGAAAACACTGCTAGAGAGCGGGGGACTCAGCGAGGGCGGGAGGGGAGGAACCCTAGACTCCTACAGCCCCGGGAACTGCACAGCCGCCTTCAGCTGAGGTCTAGGTTCTGTGCAGGGGGCTGGGCTTCCTGACCTCTGGGGGACCCTTGCAGCCCTCTAGTTCTGTGAGCCTGAAAAGGCCTTCAGAGCAGGGCTCTGCACAACCCCTCTTGCAGCCTGAGGGCCAGGTTAAGTAGGATTGCCAATTTTGGTTGACTAGATTCCTGGAGGTTTCATCACATGACATAACCTATCATTAAAGATTAATCTTTAATGCCTGGAGACTCCAGAACAATCTTGGAGATTTGGCAACTTTAAGTGTAAGAGTGCAGACCAGTGCAGCTTGCAAGGCTAGATCGAGCAGGCTGAAGAGAGCTTGGGGAGAACAGATTACCTTGTAGGTTGCCACAAGGCCTAACATCTCCTGCAGAAGCACAGTGCTACTTCACTAGGCTGCCAGGCACCCACTGTACAGCTATTGACACTTCAATTAACCCAGCTGTAATGGCAGATCAGAACCTCACTGCAGCCACCTGTTTTGACAGTTATGACCACCATTGATTTCCTCATTCACCATACTGGATGTGCTAACATTGCCTTAGGGAGATATGTACATAATGTAAATAAAAATAAAGTAGGGAAGAATATCTTGAGGATACCCATTCATACCCCTTTAAATAAAACCCACTTCAGGAGGGGAATCCTTTTTGACCACCAGGATACCTGGACTCTCTGATAATGCTGAACACTAAGATGCCTAACTACAGTCCTAACTTGTTTTTAACCAATAACAAGCCTTAAATAGGCTAGGACCTGTTTACAACAGTGGTTCTCAACCAGGGGTATGCGTACCCTGGGAGCATGCAGAGGTCTTCCAGAGGGTACACCGACTCATCTAGATATTTGCCTGGTTTTACAACAGGTAACATAAAAAGCAAAGTCAGTACAAACTCAAATTTCATACCGACAATGTCTTGTTTATGCTGCTGTATATACTATACACAGAAATGTAGGTACAATATTTACATTCAATTGATTTATAGTTATATAGTAAAAATAAAGTAAGCAATTTTTCAGTAAAAGTGTACTGTCACACTTTTGTATTTTTATAGCTGATTTTGTAAGCGAGTAGTTTTTAAGTGAGGTGGAACTTGGGGTACACAAGATAAATCAGACTCCTGCAAGGGGTATAGTAGTCTAGAAAGGTTGAGAACCACTGGTTTATAAGGCTGTCTCTCTCGCCATGCAATACTGTACCAGACGTCCTGCAAAGTCAACCTTTCTTTTCTTGTTCTTTCTTTTCCCTTTCTTCCTCAGGCATTTAGGGAGGAGGTGGGTTCAAAGACTGAGGGTAGTCTGGGGATCACTGTAAGAGACCCTTTTATTATATGGGAAGTTCAGATAGCAAGTATACTATAGATTTTATAATGTTGTTACACTTTTTTTAATATGTAAGTCACCTAAAACTTTGGACAGGCACTGAAAAAATCAAAATACATTTAAAATACACTATCCTTAATTTACTGTTACAATATGCCATAGGTCCCTGTGGACCGTAGAGTACAAAATAATTAATGTATAATAACAGAGATAGCTAGAGCCAAACTCTAGGGGGAAGTCTGGATCCATAGCTAGTATTTTATGACTATAGTTCCCAGTTCTATGGTAATTAAACCAAGACTCTGGCTCCAGATATCTCCAAGCTATAGAAAGCTTGGATCTGTACCCAGACTTTGTGATTAAGGCCATTTCTAGCATTCACACTGAGAGTCATCTTGGTTTCAGAATCCAATTTGTGTCTAAGAAAGGAGCAGGAAATATTCACAGCACTAGGGGTCTCAGTGGAAGCACTTAATAAAATGTAGCAAAATCACAACCACTTACCATTCACATTTCTATGTGCTGAACTAAGAACACAAAAGCGGAGTCAGTGTGCTGTAAACTATAATCAGCCCATAAATAGAAAGAGATAAAACAACAGACCATATTGCAAACATTATGATCCAGAGGTTTGGAAGGCTTGTTAACAGTGCCCTGATAGGTATCAACAGAAAACCAATGTGTTTCCTATAAAAAGTCTGTAGTAGTGTTGTCAGTAAGTCTCGGAAACTCCTCCCACCTTATGCTTTCAGTTTTCTCACACTACACTATATGCTTTTGGTATTCGGTGATTAAAGGACAGGACTGAGGACTAGGAGATTTCCTTCCTATTTGTACCTCTATCACAGACATCCTGTATGAACTTGGGCAGCTTATTAGCATTCACATTTTCACAATTGGACACAATTTTAGAGCCCAGAACGAGACACCTTGGGAAGGCTTGCCTAATGAAGGGCTCAGGGAAGCATCAGAACCTTAATGTTTGGCTCTAAATCAGTTGTTCTCAATGTGTGGTACTGAGCCTGCAATAAGGTTGGTTTAGAGTACTATATCATTATGAAAATCCATTCTTACTATACTGGTTGAAATTGCCAAAGAGGTACATTACAGACGTTTGAGTTTTAGATGTGCTAAGTTAGGTCTTAACATTTGAGAAACGCTATCTAATCTAGTACATACTGTTAACTGAATTGTTGAGTCTGGAAGACAAGATGCTACATGTCAAGTACATCTGTATTTTATATAAATGTATGATTTACCTAGTCCTTTACTAAACTGCGTATGACAGAGAGGACAACTGATCAAGGCATTCACAGCTGTCAGTTTTCCAGGGTTACCAGCAACATAATTTCTTAAAGAATTATCAATTTACTGCCTTGCTGGAATATATGATGGTTATCTTAACTGGCATATTCATTGTGCTTTGTATTTATGTAGCTTATTGCATCTGAAGATGTTAATATGTTTTACAAATATTAATTAAATCTCACATGCCCCTTGCAAAGGAGT